CAGCCCGATTCATAACCACTACGCTACCAGAGCTCCTAATGAGGCCAAAAATTTAGGTTTTGTGCCTGTATGAGTCAACTCACATAGCTTTAATCACAGCTTCTAGACAAGGCAGTTGACAAGACTGTAAGCCCAGGAAAAGAGAACTACTCTATGTTTACAAAGCATACATAACTTGTTACATTAGTGGTGGTGTGCTGCAGAGCCAGTTCTGACTTATAGCGACCCTGTGTAGGGTTTCCAAAGCTGTGAATCTTTACTGGAGCAGAAAGCCTCATCTTTCTCCCACGGAACAGCTGGTGGATTCAAACTGCCGACCCTGTGATTAACAGTCCAATGCATAACCCACTTTGCTACACTAACAGGATTGGGGTCAGGATGAATTGGAGACTCACAGTACTATTTCAGGCAAACACAATGTAGGCTTAAACTAGGGTAATGAAGACTGGAGAGATGGAGGTGGTGGTGGCTGTGTGCAGTGGAGTTGGTTTGGACTCATAGCAACCCTGTATAGGGTTTCTGAGGCTGTAAATCTCTACAGAGCAGAAAATCTCATCTTTCTCCCATGGAACATCTGGGAGTTTTGAACTGCTGACTTTGAGGTTAGTAGCTAGACTTGTATCTACTGTGCTACCAGAGCTCCTTTGCTACATTAGTAGCAACCTGAAACTTTCTCTCTCTTGCCCAGGAGTGTCTCTCCTACAAGCTTTTGTCAAAGGGAGTGGAAAGGCATGTTTCTCTTACCTGAAGGGCTTGGTAAAGTTTCTCAGCAAAGTATAATGGTGTGTTCTTGATCACCAATGCTGGAAGCAAAGAGGGAAAGATGGAGAGAAGTAGCTAAGGCCACAACTTCCCACCCAGGAGAGACCCCTGTCCCACGTAACCTTGGCAGGCCCCTACCTAGGCTGAGTAGAGCCACTTGGGCATCTCCATGGAAACTGTCCCGGATGGCCTCCTCCAAGTCTCGCCCAGTGTACCTCTGGTACTTATCAAACACTAGTGGTGTGCGTGGTAGATAGATACAGAAATGGGAAGGAAGGTTTAATTATCACAGAGAAGGATGAGTCTTCCCTGCCTTCATCAGACAAAATACATTATTAGAGCAAGCTATGGGACAAGAAGTCTTGTGTGTACCTCGGGCCAGGTGTTCAAAATTTCTCTGGGTGAGGATTAGGACCCACGCCCCCTTCATGCCAGGTTCTCCAGTCTGCTGTAATGCCTGAGAGGAAAGAGTGAATCAGGAAAAAACTGGGTTAACTCTCAGGTCAGGGTCCCCACTTGGCCTATGTGAACAACTGAAGAAAGTCTTACTCTGGTTCATAGTGTGGATTCTTCAAACCAACCTTCCAGTTCTCCTGGTGCCTAGAGAGGAGTAGGAAGCTCTGGTGTTGGGTCCTGTGCCTCCAGATAGGAGCCTCAGAGCTCTGCCCCAGCCACTGTCAGTCCAGGGCCTAGTTTGATCCTTTGTTACTTCTCCTAGCCTGTCAGACCATGATGATCAGACCCTTTTGCCCTACCCTTTCCTTCAACAAACGCTGGTATCTCTCCCAGGTTAAGTTCTTGCTGGAGGCAGGGGCTGGAGTAGGAAGGACAGTCAGGCTTTGCTAGTGATGGGAAAGACACTTAAGTCATTATCATGTCAACTTGGGGATATGTAGAGGGAGGAGGGCCTGTCTGAACTCAGTGGGCATAAAAGATGATGGTTAATTTGCCTCTGTAAATGCCTGCTTCTGTCAACAAATGCCCCTTTACCCCAAACCATATCTGAGAGATGCTTGATTCATAGTCATCATTTGGTCAGAAAATTGGCTGAGAGCTGAGGAGATGTGGTTATGTTCCCAGTATCCATCATCAAGAAAATGAAATTGAATGAAAGGAATTAAGAATTCTGGCAAAAAAAAAAAAAAAATAGGCTGTTTCATGTGACTGAGGTGAGAGTGACCCTTGAATCCATTTCTGTTGGAACATTTGAATTCCCTGCTATCATATCTCTTGCTATCTACAATTAGAATGAAGTGTTGCCTTGAAGCCTTTTGTCCATTTAAACATAAACTTTTGTTAAAACAAACAAACAAGTAGAGAAAGTTATTTGAATCTCTAAATTAGTTTTTATTTATAGTTTGTTAAACAAAAAATACAATTGAAAGAAAAGCTCTACTTTTACAGCTCTATTCTCCAATCTGAAAAATCCTGGTACTCTAGGAATTGAATAATTTCCTGAGGAAGTCCTGGGGAAGGCTTCCCCGCCTAATATTCCATGAAAGGATAATCTATCTATTGATGAGACCCCCTTTCCCAAGGCAGGTACTGTTTTGCAAGACAAAGAGATGCACACGTCACTGACTCTGACATATGGAAGAGGAGGGTGTTTTCATGCATGGCTGCGCACAGTCCCAAGCCCTCTGCTCACCTGAACATCCTGTTCCTCCAGATTGTAGTCAATGATTCCAGAGTAGCAGTCACGACCCCCCTAGGAGGAGAAACTGTTCTCACAAGGACTCTTTGAAGGACAACTGTTGATCTCCAGGTCAACAAAACAAGCCCAAAGCCCTCTCTTGTCCACTACACCATAGCAGTGGTCTCCACTGGTTAAATGTAGCTCTTTTCCCCTACAGGCCCCTCCTCCTTACCTTGGCCAAAGCCAGGAGCAGATCTTGCAAGATGCCACTGGTCTCAGATTTGATGTCCTCCTCAACCTCCACCTGGAAAGCTGGGGTGGTGTTAGGAGAGCTCTGAATCCTCCTACTTTTCCCCAAATGCCAGAACTACTGTGTCCTGACAGCTCTGTCTCCTGTTTGGTGACTCCTGATTTTTGGGTGTAAGGTAGAAGCACTACCACATCCACCCCTAAAATATCTCTAAACTGAGGAGACTGGAGTTGGTGGCCTCATTTCAAATTAATCTGTCAGAGGCAGGAGGCATCTGTCATTATTAGAGTAGAGGCCAGAAAGTAAAGAAAGGATGAGAAAATTCCTATTATGAGGCAAAATGACTGTTGCCTGGCCCCTCATTGGAGGTGAGGAAAAATGATTTGAAAGGTTGGATGCAAAGAAGGGAAAAATCAGGAAAGGGAGAGAAGGGAGGGAAAGGAGAAAAACAGAAACAAGGAGAGAGTGGTGGGAGATGAAGAAAACAGGTCAAGATTAGATGTCAAAGAAAAATTGATGAAACAAGAAAAGAGGTGGTAGTGGGGAGATATGGATGAGAAACAGTGAGTGTTATTTAAGGAGCTCTGGTAGCATAGTGGTTACGAATCGGGCTGCAAACCACAAGGTCAGAAGTTCAAAACTACCAGCTGTTCCGCAGGAGAAAGATGAGGCTTTCTGCCTCTGTAAAGATTTACAGCCTCAGAAGCCCTGTACAAGGTCACTATGAGTTGGAACTGACTCCATGGCACTTAACAACAATATATGGTTGGATGAGGCATGCAGCAGCTAGGTAGGGACTTTAGCCAAAGGCTTGAAAGGTGACACCTATGACTTAGAGAGCAGGTCCCCACCTTTCCCTCAGGCTGCAGGAGGCTCCATTCAGCCTAGGCTGTAGTGTGATAGCAGGAACAGCAAGGGGCTGGGAAGGAGACATGAGTACCCTTCAGCTGTCACAGAGCCCAAGTTGTCATTATTTTGGAATCTGCCCTGGAGCCCCAGACTACAATGGTTAATCATTGCCTCTCTTTCCTTAATGATCATATTTGCTGACTCCCCTGGGGAGACTGAGGCACTGGTTGGGGAAAGAAGGAGAGACCCCAAGGGAACAAAACTTGGACAGACAGGTTCCCAGATGGCTTGCCTTGTAGGGACTTCAGGAAAGGAGTAGATTGTCCAATGGGTTCCTTTCCAACTCTTAGAAATCCTTCCTGCACTCTCTTACCATGTTTGTAGACTGCCAGGCACTCCTGCAGCAGGGGCGGAGCTCGGGTGGAAAGAATTTCCATGGCCACATTCTCAGGAGAACCTGAGCCCTACAAGAAATTGGGAAGCCCTGTGTCATTAGGAGGGTGAACGTAAGGGCAGTGAGCAGATGCTGACCACTTCTTAGTATTCCAGGGCCAGAGCCTAATATGGGATGGGTTGTCAGAGTGGACAAAGGGAGGCAGTCAGCCCTCTTCATCCCTCAGTGGTGTCCTCAGACATCCCAGAAAGTTTCCTCACTTGGTACCTTCAGAGTTGCCCTAAGTTCCTCGGCATCGAATTGGGCTGCCGGCTGCATCAGAGCCATGACGATCCTCTCAAGGTTGCCGGAGAGTGCTGCCTGCAGGGACTTCAGCAGGTCCTATAATAAATGGTCTCCATGGCAGAGATGTGAGCATGAGGGGAAAGGCCTCAGAATTGTGTGGAGGTTTGGTCTTTCCCATGGTCTTTGGCCAGTCTCCACCTCAGACCCGAAACACCAGCTGTTGTTGTATGTAATACAAGTCATCCAGGGGGCTTCTCACCCCAGTCCATGGCTCCTGGGAAATCAGACTCTCACCTGCTGGGTGCGTTCCTGGAAGGCTCTAGAAATGAGTCGCCTTTGTTCTCTGCTCCGATTGGTTAGCACATCCACAATGGCAGTGTGGTCAACGCCTGAACCAAATTGGAGCTGAATTATAAATGGGGCAGAGTCCAACCAGAGTCTTTACAGGACTGAGATCCCTCTGCCCCACTGACTTGGAGTTTCTAGAGGAGGAGAAAAGAAGGTGGTCTGGGAAAAGGTTGGGAAAGGAAGAATCAAGGGCTACTTTATCATTCCATTTGGTCTCAAAAGAAGATGCAAATAAGATGCCAAAACAACATGCAAATCTGACCCAAACTAAAGCAAAAATGGCCAGGTGTGGTGGGGAAAAATGGCTTTTAGGGATCTGCAGACTTGGAATAGAATCCCAGTACAACTGTTATGAGCTGTGTTACTTTGAGCAAGCCTGTTAACTTTGCTGAGTCCCAGTTTCCTCATCTGTGAAATGGGAATAACAAGACTTACCTCACAAGGGTGTTGTGAGAATGGTGTGACACATCTACCATGATTCTTGACATACAGGAATTAGGACACGTAACAAACATTTTTGAGCATTGTTAGTTCTTCCTTCCTGACTACTTCTAGGCTTATAGGTCTGTTTCTAGTAGGTAGATTCCAAAGAGCAGCAGGAGACAAGAGGGGCTCACCTTGTCCTGCAATGGCCTTCAGTAGCCTCTGTACATCCTTGTCCACACTGAAGCTTAAGAAGGTCCTGAGGGTTCCCAGAGTGCCCCAAGCTGCAGCCTGTAATGACATGGACAGACTGGGAGGGAGAGGTGGCACCACAGGCCTGCCCACACCCCTCCCCTGTCCCTCAGTGTAACCTAAGGGCCTGCTCTCCTTCTGTCTATTCCCCCAGACTCTCACAACTCTTCAGAATTAAATTCCTGATGAATTAAAAGATGGAATTTTTCCATGAACTTTTTGAAACATGTCCATATTAAAAAAAAAAAAAAAATTCCTAAAATCCCAACAGCTCCTTACCTTATCAGCAAGACCCAGGTAGCCAAGGATCTCCTGGGTCAGAGATGGTCCCAATTTCCCATTGGTCACAGACATGGTGCAACTGGCTTCCCTGGAAAAGGAAACAAGCTAACTGAGGTGAATGTTCCAGCTTTCCAGAGTCTTTTTATTACCTCTAGGCTTGGAGCCTGGGGTCCCCTTGCCTGCTCCTTTCTCCTGTTTTAGGGGGGAAAAGTCAACCTACTTAGCAAGTTTAGGATCCAGAACTGGAATGGAGGGGTAAGAGGAAAGCCCTTACCTTCTTTGTCATCTCTTACCCCCTCCTTCAGGAGGCAAGGATCAATCAAGGACACTGTTAGAATTAGCACCCACCAAATCCTTCCCAACTCCAGGACTGGTCCCAAAGCTCCCACCCTTGTTCTGAGATGGATGCCCTCCTTCAGTGGTCTAAGTTATCCCTTCCTTCCATGGTCTGGCTAGGTTCTCAGTTGAAGGAGCCCCGAGACAGAGTAGAAGGAGTTGAGGTGAGGTGGGAAGCTACTCACCTGCAGCTCCAGCCTACAATCAAGCCCCCAGCCCCTGCCCACAAACCCATCTATTTGCCTTTTATCTTTGGAATTTCAGACTGAAATCTTTAGGTCAGTAGGTACAATCTTTGAGTATATGTTCTTGTGGGTACATGAGCACCTGGATGAGGAGAGCACTTATGTTGGGAAAGGAAAACTCAACTCTTCCCTCTCCCAAGTGATCAACAAGTTCCCCTCACCTGAGAGCCCAGGTCTAGCACTTACCCAGAGGTACTGAGACAAAGTGGCTGCTGTCACTCCTGGTGGTGTAGCTGTGTGAACACCAGCTTCAGTGTGGTCCGGTGGAAAGGAAGGGGGTGTGTACAGTCCAGGTTGAGCAGCCAGTCAGATGACCTCTCTTGCAGATCAGCCCAGCTGTTGTCTCCAGCTCTGGCCCCTCCCAGACGTGGGAGAGGACCAGGCTGTACCGGGTCCCACATACAACACCTCCCTGCCTAGCATCTCTCCTCCTAGGAACCAGACTTCAGTTCTCTCGAGTGATCACCATTTAGCTTCTCAGAAGCTCAGCCCTGGACATAGGAGGCTTTGTGCATTGGTATCCCTGTGGGGCCAGGTGGGACCTCAGAGGCCTCAGTCTTAAGTCCAGCTTCTGACCTGGCTCTGTCTCTGGCTTCTACTCCCTGGGGGGCAGGTCAGACAGGCTCCCGGCTGATCTCCAGGCTGATAGAGAAAAACCTGTTAGGGCACATACCAGCATAGCACCCCAGCCTGCATCCCAGAGAGGGTCCCAACCCAGAAACTCCCTTGCCTACTACCTTATTACAGTCAGCCAGCATGGGTGGGGAAAGCTAGGAAACTGTTTACATCAGTAGGGAAGGAGGAGCACAGGTATTTGGGGGGTGATAAGATACAAAGGCTTTTTTTGCCTGAGAAGTTAAGCACCATGCTCCCAAAAGATGACAGGTAAGTGGAGAAAATGTCCTGGGTCCCAGTTTCTTTCATTTCCTCTGTTGTCTTTTGGCTGCCAGAGCTGTTTAAGGGGCAGGTGATGCAACTCCAGCAGCTGGGCTTTAGACTCTCAGTGCACAAAGCAGCAGGTGAACAGTCCTGGGGAGCCTCAGGGAGGTCTCTGAGAAGTTGCTCAGACTTCACAGTTGCTCCCTTGGGTCTGACAGCAGACTTTTCCAAGCCTCCCTGGAGGGCTCAGGTAAGAATTGTGCATAGAAGCTAGAAAACAGACTTCACTCTTTTGTATCTTATATTTCTGAAGGAGTGCTCTGCCATGTTTGCACAGAGCAGATCAGGCCTGAGAAGAAGGTCATGAAGGGAGAGTAATTTAGTGTCAATCGCTGGTCCTCACTGTTCTCTCTCATTGAAGTGGAAAATGTGTACTGATTAATTTTTTAACTTTTCATTGTGAATTGGGTGAAATTCACAGCCTTCCATTCAACAATTCATACACATCTTGTTTCATGCTGTTGGTTACAATCTCCACGATGTAACATCACTGACACCGCTTTCTCTCTGTTCCCTTTTTTCACTCCTCCTTCCTTCACAATTCCTCCAAACTTTGCCTTTGAGTAAATGCTGCCCTTTTGATCTCTAGTGGTTGGTTGTTCTAAGGAATGTACATCTTTCCTGTGCCACGGTTTCCTTTACAGACCTGTGTACTCACTGTTTGACTGAAAATTGAGAAACAGAGATGAGTTCAGCTCCAGACCTGAAGTGTGGCCAAGGGCCACAATCTTGGGAGTTCTACCAGCCTCCATCCGAAAGGTAAACCTGGTCCTTCCCATGACATGGAGTTTTTCCCCACATTTTTCTCCCACTGTATCCAAGACCTTCCAGAGCAGGTGGTAGTGGTAACTGAGCACCATCTGATTCTTCTGGTCTCAAGGTGATGGAAGCTGATGTTCAAGTGGTCCATTAGTTCATTGGACTAATTGTTTCCATGTGTCTTTGATTTTCTTCACTTTTCTTTGCCCCGGATGGGGCGACACCAATAATGTACCTTAGACAACTGTGTGCATGAAGTTTTAAGACCCCCGTTACTACTCACCAAAGTAGAATGTGGAACATTGTTTTTGTGAACTTTGTTATGCCAATTGACCCTGGTTTTTCTGAGAGGAGACGTGATCCTAATCTTCCAGGCCCAGTGACTCATTCCCTCAAAGTGTTTGATTATGTCTAATCACTGTGGGTTAATGCGTCAGACTGCAAAGCCATTTGAACTGCAAAGTTGGCAGTTCAAGCTCACCAGCTTCTCCTCGGAAGCCTTATACAGGGTCGCTGTGGGTCAGAACTGATTTGACGGCACTTAACAACAACAACAAAATGTTTTCATAAGTTTTCTCCTGTATGCCTCACCACATTCATGGATATATTTGCAGCATAGGTAAATACACGTGTAGAAATATCCTTTGTGAAAACTATGTATGTTCATGGGTTTGTATATTACCACTCTCCCTCCCACAGCTGTTCAATCCACATCGATACATACATCCAGTGATGAATCACAGTTATTGCAGGATGGTATATGTGGCACTGTGGGATAAAGCCCTGGGCCACAAGGTCAGTTTGAACCACAACGTTGGCAGTTCAAACTCACCAGTCAATCCCTGGAAACCCTGTACAGGGTTACTATGAGTGAGAACTGACTCGATGGCACTTAACAACAGCAAGGATATATGTCTCAGGGTTCATTTTTAGTGATTGGTGGGGAGAAACAGAGCCAATATGCTGCGGAATCTGTTGGCTCTTCGTCAGATTGGCCAAAGGACCATAAGTACTGCTTCATGCAGACCATTTGAAAATAAAGTTCCAGAGAAACAAAAGCTATTTCAGGAGGATAAAGGAATTCCAGTGCATCTAAAGGGTGGGGCAGCTGATGCCCTCCTGTATAGAGCCACCATGATTCTTACAGTTGGTGGAACAGCGTATGCCATATATCAGCTGGCTATGGCATCATTTCCCAAGAAGCAGGATTGACTTCAAGTTATCAATCCAGCAATTGGTTCAGTTTAATCCATAGAACTTTGGACCAGCAATCTGATAAATAACAGCTCTTCTTTGGGGATCAGTATTTACTCACTTGTACTAACTGCCACCAATAAAGCAGTCTTGTCTTTACCATTCTTGGTCTTATCAAAAACAAAAGAATATATGTAACAGTATTTTCCTATCTTGCCTTTAACTCCTGTGTTCATCCCAATGTCTTCCCATACCTCATCATTTGTTTTTTACTGACATCCTCCAATTGTATATTACCTTCTCTTTCACCCAAGTTAATGTAACTTTTCCTAATATTGATCTAATATAATATTTGTCCTTTTGTGATTTACATATTTCACTCAGCATGATTTCCTTCAGGTTCATTCATTATGAGGTGCCTCACAGACTTCAATGTTGCAGTGTATTCCATAGTGTGTATGTACCATAGTTTGTTTATCCATTCTTCCACTGATGGGCATTTAGGTGGTCTCCATTTTTTTAAATTTTTTTTTACTATTTTGAATAGTGCTACAATGAGCATGGGTGTGCATACATCTATTCATATTACAGATCTTATTTCTTTAGGATGTGTGCTAAATAGAGGAATTGCTAGATCATATGGTATTTCTATTTCCAACATTTTAAGGAAGCCCCGCTTCATATTGATTGTATAATTTTGCAGTCCCACCAAAGGTATATGAGAGTTCCAGTCTTTTCACATCCTCATTAGTTGTTTCCTGCTTGTTGTTTCACTTTACTATTAGTTCTGGGGTGAGATGATATCTCATTGTTTTTTTGATTTTCATTTCTCTAAGGACTTCTGATGTGATGCTGTAGGATAAGCACTGGACCTCTATCTATGAGGTAGGTGATTCAAACCTACCAGTCTCTCTTTGGAAACCCTACACAGGGTTGGTGAGTCACAACTGACATAAGAGCACTTAACAACAACAGCAACAATGACTAAAGATCACAAGCATTTCTTTGTTTGTTGGCTACCTCAATGTCTTCTGATGAAGTATGTGCTCATGTCCTCTGCCCATTTTTAAATTGGATTACTTTTTGTTAAGGTGTTGAAGTTTTATTTGTTGTTAAGGTGTTGAGGTTTCCTATAAATGTGAGAGACTTAAGGGCTTAAGGGAAGGATGGTAGACTAGGTAGATGCACTACACAGACCCTCTATAACAACGATATGACAGACCAAATAAAACAGACACAGATGAAAATTCTGGCACCTTGAACATCAGAAGAAAGGTTGGAGCAGTAGATGGAGTGCTTGCTGGGAGGAGAGGCCTATCAGGGACAGTGAGAGAGGGAGATTGACTGGTGAACAGCTGGCCAGATGTGGCTTGGTTATCTGTGAGCAACTTTGGCAGCAGAGGGAGGCCTGGCAGGGTAGATTTGCACAGGCAATGGGAAAGGTGCAATTTCTTCTTTTTCCCCATGCTCCCCTGGTAACCAGAGGTATGATCAGCTTCCACCCTCTAGACCCCCAGTGCCTAGACCTTGCTTTATAGGAGTTCGGAACCATGTGGTTGGGAGTCACGGACAGTGTGAGTTGGGGGCTGACTGCGCCAC